TGGTTGAAAGAGTAAGGTCTGAAGTAGCAATTTGTGCCTCTAAGTGCCATCAGTTTTTGTTTTCCAAGTTCAAGAAGGGGAAAGAGAATAGATGAAACCAGAGGAGATACCGTGAAGGTCAAGCAAAGACCACGGTGTAGAGCCTCATAAATATTAATAGATACTTTTAATTTTATAGCACACTGAGGTACCTGCTCTTGGTTTGAAATCTATCCCTTATGTACCTGTATTGTTTGTCTTAGTAGGGGCTAAGCATAATTTGCTGTATTTTTGTTATTATAGATGTGAAATTTAATTATTATAGTCAACTCTTTAATACACATTGAATGGCAGAGGACCAAGATGATTGTTTTAGGTAATTAAGACATCATTAAGAAATAGTCATACTTAAGAGTCAACATATCTGTAAAAAATGCTAAAAGTTTGCTAATAAAAATGCCCTGTTAAGAAATGGACCCAAGGCCGGGCGCGGTGGCTCACGCCTATAATCCTAGCACTCTGGGAGGCCAAGGCAGGAGGATTGCTTGAGGTCAGGAGTTCGAGACCAGCCTGAGCAAGAGCAAGACCCTGTCTCTCCTATAAATAGAAAGAAATTAGCCAAACAACTAAAAATAGAAAAAATTAGCCGGGCACGGTGGCGTGTGCCTGTAGTTCCAGCTCCTCCCTCTGGAGGCTGAGGCAGGAGGATCGCTTGAGCCCAGGAGTTTGAGGTTGCTGTGAGTTAGGCTGACCCCATGGCACTCTAGCCCAGGGAAGAGAGCGAGACTCTGTCTCAAAAAAAAAAAAAGAAATGGACCCAAAATACACTTGTTTTGGACCATTATCTTAATTTGCATTTCATTAAGAAAATTACTTTGCATAAATAATTATAGCAGTAGAAATAAAATTTAATTTTTTGGTTTCTGTGAAGGCATTTGACTGCAAGAAGACAATATATTTCTGGAATTATATTGAGAATTAAGATTAATGGACTTTTTCTTTAGCTTGAACTGTGACTAATACGTAAGTTACAGAAAAGTAAATGTGTTACTGGCAAAATTTAAGGAAATGATTTTGTATGTTTTCTTTTTTCTTAGTAGGAGTCAAGACATATAGTAAGAAGCTAAAGGTAGCCTCTTGCTCATGAAGAACATCCCTAGTAAGATTATCAGTTGTTCTTTACATATCTGTGCAGAACTGTCATCTATTAAGAGTTTTGAGAAAATTACCTTTATGTTGTTTGATTCTAGCCTGAGACAATTAATTAAGGGGTCCTTAGAAAACATTGCTGAAATTGTAAACTACTTATAGAAGTAGAAGTTATGACTAGATGCCTGCATATGGAGTCAAAATTTATTACTAGGAAAAGTTACGTCGAATATAAGAAAAGTTGTGGACTACTGTTCTTGCTGTGCTCTGCCTAAATAGTAGATTGGCAATAAATGAGTGCTGCTTTACACAAATTTACTGAGAAATTGCTGTGTCCCAGACGTGAGGTATTGGGCAGGACGGCAGTGAATGAAACAATGCCTGCCCTCAATGAACTAGAATGTGGTGAGTGATGCTGAGCTTTTTCCCCTTGCGACCGAGGTTACTGAACGTGCGGAGGTAATTAGCCACAGGACCTTTATGTGGTTTTGCTAGAACCAATTATATATGGAATTCTACTGATCTGTTTTAACAAAAATGATTGTACTAACAACTCTGCCACTTAATTATCCCATTAACTTGGTTGGGAAAATTACTTAATTTATGAGTCTGATATTCCTTAACTGTAACATCAGGATAATAATGACTTTGTGAGTGTGAAGAGCCTGGTTTGATGCCAGGTATGTCACTGGTGTAATAAGTGATGTGTATGATAGTAGCAGCTTTTTTTCTTGTCTTCCCTTCCTAGCTCAGATAGGATTCTGAGTTTTTGATCTGGTAATTTTTTAAGGAATAAGCAAACTGTATCATGATATAGGATTTGAAATATTCTATATAGACTTTTCTGAGTCATTTTATTCATAAGCTATATTACTCTAAATTGCAAATGAAGTATTCCATAACCTTGGAGTTCTCGGCGTATATAATTTCTTAAAGATTTTAAATCATTTTTTAAAGAAATAAGGGACTTTCTCGTGTAATATAAGTACTATATCTTTTAGCTGCATGAACCTGACTTGCCATTCAACTAGTAAGTTCCATGCCCTTGACTTTGGGTAATCATCAGCCCCACATAGCACCAGACTCACAGATTTTCCTCTATGTGAGTTGTTTTTAGTTGAAAAGATTAATACTTGATTTCTGATTGTGCTTTTTGAATTATAGCTTTTTAAATTATTTAAGTATCAAAATTAACAATGACTTTGTTTCAGCAAAGGAGATATAACAGTGTTTTCTAACTATGAATTGATTTTTATAATAATTCATTAATATTTTGGTGGAATTCAACCTCAATTGCTTTTTTTCTTTGGATAATCTATTTTTCCAAGAGGTTTTAAGTATAGAGAACACTTTCAGGGGCTGTCTGCCCCACTGTACACCTCTCTCTGAGAACTCAGCCCTTTCCCAGCAGGTGTGGTCTCTCTTTCCCCCAAAGATGTGTGTGTCCTCCTTGCAGCCGCCCATCCTTTTGGCTACATATAATTGAGCCAGAGATGAAAAACAGACCAGCTGGATCGTTTGGATTTTCCTGGGGATTTAGAATTGGGACTGAGTGACAGCTGTTTTTTAATTGCTGGAACTGAAGTGATAAAGACTTGGAACATGGCTGCAACCGTTTCCAGCATTGCAGTTGGAGAAATAGGAAAAAGTTGGTGATGTAGGTGGGCAGAAAGAAACAAAGATGAAAGTCAGGAAGAGAATATTGTCCAGATTCTTCTTCCAGTGCTTTGTGAGGCCCGGCTGTCTTCTAGTACCATAACATACCTCAGTGATCTTCAAAGTAAGTTGCCTTTTTTATACAAGTTTGCTTAAATTGGTTCTCTCTTAATAACAGAAGAACCTCAACTAAAGACATTAAGCTTAAAACAAAAATAGATGAATATGAATATCCACATGCCAAACAGTGAAGTTAGCTTACACCATGTACAAATGGATTATAGAGCTAAATATTAGAGGTAGAACTATATAAAACTTTTAAAACATAAATCTTCATGACCTTGGATTAGGCAAGGGCTTTTAGATACAAAAGTACAAGATAGATAAATTGAACTTCATCAAAATTTAAAGCCTTGTGTTCCTTCAAGAAAGTCAAAATATTAAATACAACTTCATAGAATGGGAGAAAATAGTCACACATCATATATCTGATGAGGGGCTTGTATTCTGAATATTAAAACAAATCAAAAAACGTCTTGCAACTCAGTCAAAAATGTAGTTTTTCAATGGACAGGTATTCTGAATAGACTTCTCCAAAGAGGTTATATGGATGGCCAATAAGCACATGAAAAGATGCTTAGTATCGTTAGCCAGTAGAGAAATGCAAATCAGAATCACAAGGAGATACCACTTCATATCCACTAGGATGGCTATAACTAAAAAGACAGATGATAAGAAGTGTTGGCAAGGCTGTGAAGAAATTGGAACCCACATACATTGCTGGTGGGAATGCAAAATGCAGCTACTTTGGAAAACCTTGGCACTCTTCAAATGTTAAACATAGATTTATCATGGGACCCAGCAATTCCATCGCTAGACATGTCCGCAGATGAAACATATGTCCCCACAAAAACTGGTACAGGAATATTCAAAGCATCATTATTCATAATAGCCAAAAAGTGGAAAAAACTCAAATGTACATCAGTGATAAATGGATAAACAAAATGTGGTATATCGTAAGTAGAACGTAATTCAGCCGTAAAAAGGAGTAGAGTGCTGACACATGATACAATGTGGATAAACCTGAAAAACGTGTGAAGTGAAAGAAGCCAGAACCAAAAGACCACATAGTATGATTTCATTTATGTGAATTGTCCAAAATAGGCACATTCATGGAGGCAGAAAGCAGATTGGTGGTTTCCAGGGACTGGAGAGAGGGAGAAATGGAAGTGACAGCTAATGGATACAGGGTTTCTTTTGGGGAAGATGAAAATACTCTTAGATTAGATTAGATTGTGGTGATGGTTGTACAGCTCTATGAATATACTGAAATGCATTGTCTATTTTAAATGGGTAAATTGTATCACCTGTGAGTTATATCTCAATAAAGCTTGTTTTTAAAAATAGATAGAAAAGTTAATATGTTGTCTAGTGATGTGATACAGGCTTTAAAAATAAGCAGATTTCTATGGAGGTAATTTAGTTGTAACTGTTTTTACTTATTATCTAAATAAGCACATTTTTCTTTTTTCATAATAAAAATTAAAAATTCTAAGGAGCATCTCGCTTCATTGAAAGCTAATTTGACTAAAATTTGGTAGTGATGGTTATATTTATCAGTTTGAGTTACAGTAAAAGTTGAAATATAGATTTTTCCTGCATGTATCTGTGTCACCGCCATTCTGTTTGTGTGTGTGTGAATAGCGACAATTGTGTCACGGCGAGATTTCTGGACTTAGCAATTGCTGGGACAGGACAAGCATAGGTGTGTTCTGTGGTCTTGGACAATAATTTATATTAACTGATAATTTTATTTTAACTTTCTTGATATATTTGTCTATTTAAATATCGTCTCACTGATTTTGACTGCTTTTAGTTATTCATGTGTTATCTATAATTAAGTTAATTCCAGGTTAGTGTATACATCTATAACTTGTTTTTAAAATGTATTAGCTGTATGTTACCATTTTTAGCCTTTTAGTTTGTTTGTGATTTTAAAAAATCTGGTTTTTTTAATGAGATACTAACGTTAAGTTGATTTTAGAGAAGTCTGCCATAATTGCATCTGGTTCCAAGTGCTAAGTTATTTAGTGGCTGATATGTGGCAAACACATTTTTATGTTGCAGTTAAGTGATGATATGGGATGGGATTCAATTTTTTTTATTAGCTTGATAGCTTCATGATCTTAATATACTAGCTTTTCCTTATTTTGCAGAGATCCTGCATATTTTGATGAAAATTGGCTAAACAGAATCAAAACCGAAGTAGGAGATAATTGGAGGCTAAAGGTATTTTTAAATTTTTTCCATGTGTTAAATCTTTAAATATTTGTATGTGTATGAAACTTGTTGATTTTTTTTTTTAATCTGTTGTGTGTCCAGTGAGCTTTAGAAACTTGGGTAGCCTATAGTGAAATAATCTAGAATTGAAGATTGGAGGTCACCTGGAGTTGCTCACCTAGGTATGACATGATAGGAGTGAGCGAAGCGCAGTGACTGAGGGCTGGACTCTGGGGTCAGCATGCTTGCGTGCACGTCATAGCACCACCATGTACTGTCTGGGGCAGTGATGTGCCCCTTCTGTCCGCATATATAAAGTGGGGTGTTTAATAGGACTTACCTAGAATAGTGCATGGGACATATGTTAGTTGCTAGTTTTGTTAATAATGAGATAATATTGGTCATTATTAACTCTGTCCAGAGCACTTAGAGAATGAAACATTTTCATTTCTTTTTTTTTTCTTTTTTTTCTTTTGGCATATTATGGGGGTACAGATGTTTAGGTTACGCATGTTGCCCTTGCCCCCCCCCAAGTCCGAGTTTCAAGTGTGTCCATCCCTCGGATGGTGCGCATTGCACTCTTTGTGTATGCATATACCCATCCCCAACATTTTCATTTCTTTCCCAGTAGCTTTTATGTTCTGGTATTTCTCAAACTTCTTTGACCAAAACCCACAGTAAGAAATACAGTTTACATTGCAACCTGCTGCCCTCCTAAAATATATGTGCAAATATAGCTGAACAGGTGTTTCCTCTTATTTTATGCAGTGGTGATTTCATTTTGTTTTATTTTTGAAAATATTTATTGCAACTCACTAAATTATTTTTTTAACTTTATATTTTGACATAATTACAGATTCACAGGGAGTTGCAAAAAAAATGCACGGGGAGATTCTGTGTACCTTTAACAAGTTTTTCCAGTGGTAACTTCTTGCATAACTATAATACTGTATCAAAACCGAGGAACTGATGTGGGTACAATCCACATTTTATTCACCTTTCACTAGTGTTACATGCACTCTTTGGTGTTTGTGTGTACAGTTCTGTGTAGCTCTGTCTCACACGTAGCTTCCTGTAGCTACCACTGCATGAAGACACAGAACTATCCTGTCACCACACGGCTCCCTGGTGCCACATCCACACCACCTCTCATCCCTTGCAGCCACTAATTTGTTCTCCATCTCTGTGATTTTGTTGCATTAATTGATTTTCATGACCTAGTAATGGTCATGACTGGCAGTTTAGAAATCCCCGGGACCATTTCTTTTTGATATAGACTAGTATAGACTCAGAAATACAAATGATTAAGCTTGTGGTGCCCCTAGATTTAAGATGTGCTATGCTTGGTTTGTCTTTATATTTCTCCCAAGAAACACATGTTTGATAAGAAAGGTATTTACTGAGTGTTTAAGTATTGTGTCCGCCAAAATCCGATTCCTTCTTTTTTCTAAGCTGGTAAATGCAAACTGTTTAATGGAGCTATTTTAACTTCTAAACAATCTTTCAAGAATAAACAATTAACATGATTACTTTCTAATGTTATAACATGTTTAAAACAATCCATGAGTGTTTAAAATAGTGCTGCTAATCATTTTGTGCTTGCTTGCTGGCTTGAGCAGAGGGAGTGTGTATCCCCTCTCCCCGACATGCACACAAACACTCGCGTGCGCACACATGCCCCCCACACACACATTGTCTTCAAGGTCACGAGTAGGGCAGTGGTAGTGATACGGAGAAGGATAAAAAGGTTGATCTTGTTCTTGACATTCAGAACTGAAATTCCTATTCTCTTTTACTCTGTTACACTTCTTCAGTTTTATGATGCTACTGATTAAAGATAAGATATATAGCTTTTTGTGATGGAATAAAAAAACTACCATTTTAAATGAACACATTGATTTTCAAGACATTCTAATTTCAAATATTAAAAATATGAAAAAATTAACATCCTAGAATAAAGGAAATAAAATACAATAAAATAAAAATTTCCATACCTCCAAAATTTTTCGGAAGTATAAGATACTTTATGAGATTTTTAAAAAAATAAATTAAGTTTTCCATTTATTTTCTCCCTTAAAAATAAATATTTTTTTAATTAACTCCTGTATCGCACTGCTATGATTCAGGTTCTTTTATTTGATAGCCTCAAGCTCAGCTGTCTGCTCTTCTAGGACATCTTCAACTACTCAACTGGCCAGGTCAGCTGGATTGACAGATGATCAACAGAATCAAATCATGTACACATTTAACTTTACACAGATGTAACTGCACAAGTTGAGTCAAAAAGAGGAAAAAAATTGCAGTTGACAGTAAATAGCGCAGTGATTCTGCCTGTCGTTTCGCCCCAGATAACATGTGCCAGTGAACTTGCGCTCTGGAGTGAGTGAATATTGGGAGACGTCCCTATGTTGCTTCCTCGTCCTCTCTCGTTTCTAGGTGTTTCTTATCACACAAGTATCTTGCAATGCTGAGTGGTACTCTGGTGTTTCAGCATATAATAGTAATTTTTTTAACTTTATGGCCTCAAATATTTACTTTGGTGCTTAACTAAAGAAACAGTAGTGGTTTTTTGGGACAGTGGAGGAACTTGAAGACATTATACTTTCTGAGTTATTTTAAAGAGATTTCCAAGAGTAATTTTGACTATAATTTTTTCTTAATGTTCTAACTTGAGAACTTAAACTCGATATAGATGCAGCTCTACTTTTCTAGGGAAAACAGCACGAACTCAAGTTTTCATTATTAAGGATGACATATTTTTTTCTTTACCTGTAAAAAGTCTTATTTAGTTACCCTCCGGTTGTTGTCAAGGTGGTCATAACATTTAAAATTTTACATAATTGGGAACGTAATCTATTTTACACAACTGTTGGATCAAAAGCCATTAATACTGAGCTCATCCGTGTTGGTAAAAAAAAAAGAAAAAAAGGAAAAAAAAGCTATTAATAATCCTTGTTTGATGATGATAATTCATATATGCCATTGAATTTTATTCTTTTATAATTACTTTTTGATTAAGTAGAGTGATTAGTTGGCTCACAGATTTTCTACGTTAAACTGTGTTTTGATCTATGCTTGCTTATTACCCAGTTGTTTTCTCTCTCTTTAAACAGATAAGCAACTTAAAGAAAATTTTAAAAGGAATCTTGGATTATAATCATGAGGTAAGGACTTTTTTCTCATTCTGCTTGGAAATGTTGCTATAGGATACTTTAATTTTATAATAGTTTCAAGTTAAGGAAAAATCGCCTTCAAAATCAATAATCAGTTTGTCTTCCATTTGGTAGTTTCTAGGACGTTGGTTCAAACAGCCATCTGTTAGGTGGCCAATAGATGAATGACCTTATTCACTGTATTATAGGTAGTTTGTAGATGATTACTAACATATGTTAAATTTTATTTTATGCTGTTAATTCTTTCCTTTCTGCCCTTACGAGTGAAGGTAGTTCGGAGTCCATGCACCACTGTCGTCAACTCTGCAGCCCGCTTCCTTTTATCCCTTGGCAGAGCCCCACCCCTGCATGAACTCAAGTTTATCCTCTGAATCTGCAACAGAAAAGTCAGCTGCTGGGGGAAAAATCAGGCAGTGGAACTAACTAGTTTCACTTTAAATTTCATGATCACAGATGTCAAATGGACGCGGTGCTGCCTAGATACCTACGTTATTTCCTTACTGTTTTTTCCCCACAAGCTTACCTGGGTCTATACCCATGTCTGTGACCGCAACACCGATCTTCTGCATCTCAGTCAGTGACCCTACCATTCACCCTGCTGCTCCAGCCCCAGACCTAGCCATCTCTCTGTGCAAGACCTCTTAGGTAAACCTTCAACACACAGCTCCCCCACCCTGCCCAAGCTGGTGTTCACTCTTGCTTAGGTTGCTGACGTAAGTCCAACTGTCGCCCAATCTCACTGTTGCCCCTCTGTAGCCCATTCTGCACTCTAAAGCCAGGATGATCTTTAAAAATATAAATGTAATTATATCACGCTCCTGCCTAAAATCTTCTGTGGTTTCCTGCTCCCTTGAGAATCCCTCCCACATTTCTCACCGTGAGCCACCAGGTGCTATGTGACCCCTCTGCCCACCCAGCACTCTGCTTTCCCACTCGCCCACAGCTGCAGCCACATTCATCCTCTCTGAGCCTCAGATACACCAAGGCTTTTTCTTCTCGGAGCCTCTGCCCTGTGTGCTGTGCGCCCTGCCCTTCCCTGGGCTTCCGCCGTCGCATGCTCGTGCTTACTTGGACTTACTGTCACCTCCTGGGAGAGGCTTTCCCTGAGTGTGTGCTGTCTCAGCCAGGATCACGTTCACCCTCAGCCCCAGCACTCAGTCTCGTCACCCTGTTTATCCCTGTAGTGCTTGCCATTTCTGCAGTCCCTTATTTGTTGGTTTATTTGGTTGTTTCACCCCACTATATTATTAGAACCATGAAATGAGGTCAGGGCCAGACCAAGGTAGTCACCACTACGTCCCAGCCCCAGCACAGTGCTGTCACACTGCAGCACTGCGCGTTTCCTAATCTTCTCAAGTAGACATTATTTTGAAAGAAAATTCAAATATTAATTTCCAAAGACTATATTTAAGATATGTAAGTGTGAATATAGGGTTAATATTAGGCATCTTTTTTTTTAAATAGAGACAGAGTCTCGATATGTTGCCCAGGTTTGTTTGAACTCCTGGCTTCCAGTGATCCTCCTGCATCAGCCTCTTGAGCCACTGGGATTAGAGGCATGAGCCACCGCGCTTGGCGACATCTTGACAGTGTTTTCTTTTTTTTTTGGCCTGGAGAAGTTATTGTTACTTCCTAAGGGTGCTATGAAGAAATGTTTTTGTTTTGAGCATCATGCTCATTTTGTAAAATACAAGTGGTAATTTTCAACCAAGTGTTGCAATGAAAAAAGAGATAGAAAATTTAAGGCACTGAAGACAATGATGATGTTTGAGTGGCCCTTTCGGTGAGTTTTGTCCCGAGCCAGGTGTCCTGCTCAGTGCTGTCCTCCACCCAGAAGAAGTCCCCGCCACGGCCAATCTCCCACTGAGGCTCAGATCAGTCTTCCTGTATACACCTATTTCTCTTCCCCTCTTGTTCCTTTCATCCCCCACCATCCCCTGACTCCCACATATTCTTGGCAATTCTTTGGGCCCTGGGTAGCATTTCCTTGCCATGCCGATAGTGCTCAGAGAGTAAAAAGAAACACAGGCTCTGATGATGGTGTGGCGCCTTTGGAACCTTTCTTATGCCCTTGTAAAAGCCTAATCATATTATTACTACATGATTATGAGAAAGTTGGAATGTGAGTAAAACTAAAGTCAGTGTGCGTAGTTAGCATTTGCCTAATTTTGAGCCTGCGTGACCACTTAAGGAACCCATGCCACACATTTATTCTCTCATGACTCAAGGTTCTTTTCCTTCTTACTACCTACTATAATTTATAATTAAATATTTCTTTGTGCACTTATTTATTTGTAAACTACATGAAGGTACTTGTCTTTGTCTTTAAAAGCTTTATAAATGCATACATCTTTTGACACAGTAATTGTGTTTCTAGAAATTTGTCTTCTAGAACTATATAAGGCTACCCATCTCATCATTTCATAGTAGACAAAAATTGAAAATAACCCAAATGTCTAACAGTAATTATGAAACATTTATAGGACAAATGCCATTCAGCCATGAAAATTCATATTTATAAAAATTCTTCAGTAATACAAAAGTATGAGATATGAGCCATATGATTCCAATTTTACAGAAATATACAAAAATATATGTAAAAATATATATGCAGGTCCATCGTCTCAAATCCCAAATCCTTTAGACCGGATGCATTTTGTAATCTGTAGTTTTTCAGATTTTAGAAAGATAACGTGATGCATACACCATGTGTTGTATAAATACCCCCAGTGGGTTCGAGGGTTGCCCATTAATCTATTATATTGGTATTTCTGCAGCAAAATTTAAGCTTATTGACTCTAACTGGGATAATAAATAAATTCATGTTCTGACATTCCCTTTCACCCTTATCCTGAGAATTCCTATCTTATTGTTTGCTGAATTCTTTATATTTCTCTTTCCTGGTTTACTTTCTTCTGTTGGTGGAGCCCATTTTCCAGTGGCATATTCACAAAAATACATGGTAGATAATTTTGTTTAGGCCTTGCACATTTGAAAATACTCTCCGTCCTCCCTTTATACTTTGGTTGAGTTGGATATGGAATCCTAGGCTGGAATCATTCCTGCATGTTTTGAAATCATTGCTTCATCGTCCTCTGGCTTCCTGTGCTCCTACCGAAGTCTCTCAAGTGGATTCCCATTCCCTGTTTGTAACTCGTTCATTTTCTGGAAGCTTTTGGGATCTTCCTTTTAGCTCCATGTTCATGCTGATGTGTGAGGAGGGGTTTTTTGTTGTTTGTTTTGTTTTACTGTGCCTGGCACTTAGCAAGCCATTAAAATCTGAATGCCTGCTAGCTTTGGTTTTAGGAAATTTTCTTACTCATATATGTGTGTGTGTATATATATATTTTTAATTCTTTCCCTTTATTTTCTCTGTTCTCTTTCTAGAATTCCTATTCAGCTATTGAACCTTCCGAAATGACCCTTTAATTATCTAACCTTTCCTGTCCTTTTTTCTCTCTTGTGTTTTTGCTCTACTTTCTGAGATAATTACATACCTTTCTTCTAGCTTGCCTGTTGAATTTTTCATTTCTACTGTTGTATCTTTAATTCCCAAGAATTTTTTGTTTTCTCAATGGAACTTTTATATCCTGTTATTGCTTTACAGATGTAATATTTTCTCTTATCTCTCTGAAAATACTAATCTTAGTTCTTTTTTTTTAAAATTCATTTCTTAACCCCACACTGCCCAGTTTCCTCCCAGGGGGCATCACTGTTAGCAACTTCTTATATATTCTTCTAGAGACTGATTTTCCTATTCAAAGGGAAAAATCAAATTTAATCTGGGTTGGTGGTATATTTCTATTCATTTACTTTAGTTTGTTTTCAGTAACATAACTCACCAGGACCTGAATTGATCTGCCTCCACCCACCCCAACTCCTGCACCTCATTTTCCGCCGCTGCTTCACGCAGCCATGCTGGCCTTCTTGCTGTCCTTGGAGTTCATCACGCACTCCTCCCTCGGGACACTGCCCGATGGTAACCTGTGTGTGGTGTATTCTGCTCCCATGTAACTGTGCCGTTTGCTTCTTCATTCCGGGTCTCTGCTCAGTTTTTACCTTAACACAGAGGCCTTCCTTGCTCACCCATGTAAACAGCAATCCCTCTTCCCCAGCACCCCCATCACTCTTTCCTCGTACAGTAAACATACATTCAAAAAAGCACACAATGTGTGCATGTACAGTTTGACATTAATTCTGCAGTGAACGTTCGTGTGACGTAGGTGGGTAGCGCATTGCCACCACCCTGGAAGGCCCTGTGTTTACCTTCCTGGCCACAGCCTCTTTCTTCACCTCCTATCCAGTTTAGAAAACCGTGATCCCAAGTTTATTTTCATCCACTTCCTGCATTTTTTGCTTTCCTCCGAGTTTCTTTGTTTTTGTCTGTTTTTCATGTTGGAAACTTTCCTCAAACAGCATAATGATCCTTGGTTGTTTGTTGATATTTCCAAGTAAAGCTCTGTGAAAAGCCGACTGGAATCTGAGCAGGGGTGCTTTTTTAGTGGTCAGTTTCACTGTAGGGTTATCAGGCAGAGACCTGCCCATTTGTCTGTGTATAAGTCATTTCATTTGGTGCCAATTTCCCCATAAAGGAATCCTCCATGCTGCTTCCTGATAGAGGCATTTTGCTGCCTCTGTTTTGGGAGTTAAATGGAATGAAGGTGGCTGAGGAGAATCTTGCTGTTGAGATGTGAGTTTATGTTTAATGTGAACCCTTCCTGGTGCCCTCTGCCTCAGTCCTTCTTGAAGTGGTGAAACAATCAGTTGTACTCAGATTTTTTGCTCAGTGTACATAATACATACCAGATTAAGGACTATGTTGCTATCACTCAAGATAGTTATAATTTAGGTATGGGAGGTAAAAATAGAATTTGGGAGTGAGATTGACATAATCGGTCTCTGTTCTCAGCAGTGAGTTTTTGGTGATAACAAGCGAATTTCGATCAAATATTTTATTTGGTCATATACATGTAAATGCAATTGTAATCTTTTTATCTCCATTCAGATTTTAGGACAGCAAATTAATGACTTTACCCTTCCTGATGTGAACCTCATTGGGGAGCATTCTGACGCAGCAGAGCTTGGAAGGATGCTTCAGCTCATTTTAGGCTGTGCTGTGAACTGTGAACAGAAGCAAGGTAATTTGTTTCAAGTTAGTGTATGCATTTAAAATAATTAAGGAAAGTGACATATGTAGTATATTTTATATATAAATCACCAGTACAAACAGTAACCTCTTTTTTAAGGCCACCCTAAAAGAATGCCGTTTTCTATGATTTTGCTAGTAATTTATTTTTAAGCTTAAATTAATTTTAAAAGTTAAAATAAATTTGATTGTAGTGATATTCTTTTCCTTTCTGTAAGCCCACATGATTCTTTGAGTGGATCGTTTTTAATGCATCTTAAGTACACTGAATGTGATGAAGTTTACTGTTAATTGGACAAGATCCACCTGTTAGTTTGGTAAAAATGAGCAGATGTACGGCAGTTTAGGTATTTAGATCTGCCTTCCCAGCATATATCTGTAATAGACAAATGCCTTATACTTTTTTTTTTAAGGAAACATTTACAAGGTTTTTCTTTATTGTGGGGAAAAAAGGAGGAAAGAATATCATTATATGCAGTCTCTAGTAAAAATAGATTTGAAATTAGGTTTCCTATCCCTAAATCTAGTAGATATTCTTCCTCAAGAAATTACTTTCAGTGTTAAGTTTTAGATATTGCCTTGGGTACCTTTTAAAGGAAAGAATAGTATTACACATGTCAAGATTGTTTCACTTATTTATAATTGTAAAACTTTTAGAAATATCACAGGATATTTTGTATTAATGTACTCTGTCAAGAAAGCCTTGAAATTCAAGGGCCTTTTGTGATTAATTTTCACGAAGATAAACAAAGACTATTAAAATAAATTAATCATTTTCCCGTGTATATCTCAATGCTACAAAAATCTCTGACTAACCATGTAAATCTGAGCTATCATGTTTTGTTTTTCCTTGTGTTCTTGGCGTTGCAACCTAGAATATCCAATTTTAAGTTCCCAGAGCTGAAATGGCCCAAAATATTATATCATTACCATTATTATCAAAGTATTGGTTAATGTATTTATCAGTTTGTCAAATAGCAATTTTGGAAATATTTCTGTACTTGGATTAAGAGCATGGGCTGCCGTGTCCATCAGCCTGTGAAGTTCAACTATGATTCCGCCTATCACAGCCATGGGAGGGATTCCAGGCAAATCTCCTAATCTCTATATTTTAGTTTCTAAGTGAAGTAGAGATTTAGTATAGTACCTACCTCATAAGGTTATTGTGGGGACTAATGAGATAGGGTATGTAAAGTAGTACAGTGTCTTGCACATAGTAATGGCTCAAAAAATGTTTGTTATTACTAGTAAACGTGGAAACATTATAATTTTTATATATAGTATTTTAAAACATTAATTTTAGTTCAATTTTCTATTGTATATTTTTGTGAACTTCCAGATAGCTACAATTTTTAAAATGTCAATTATCATAAGGTGGCATTTATCTAATTATTTATATTTATCCTATGAATATATGGAATGTAAATTAGTAAAACCAATAATTTAGACCTAGAAAAAGCTATTCTCAGTAAGTTAAAGTTTACAGATTTTGTTAGATAAATGTACTTTCATGTGTAAGCAAATCCAAGTTGACACATTTTCACTTTGTTGAAGTTACTTGAAGACTAGCTTTGATATGTAGATAATAATGTAATTAATATCTCTTTTTAGTTCTTCCAAAGTCTGCATCTAATCTTAAATAGCTTTTTTGTTCCATTTTCAGCTACTCATTTGCATAAAAATCACTTGTTTTCTAAAAAATACTATTTATCATACATAAAGTAGATAAATTTTACTTTAAATTTATTTTCCCCTCTTTTCTAATCAATTTATTTCACAAATATTTATTGAACTGATACGTTATACTAGAGGCTAGGAGCACAGTGGTAGATAAAACAGAGACAGTACTTGCCCTTGTGGAACTTGAGTGGAGGTAAGGGCATTAAATAATGCCTCAAACACCTGTATAATCAGAGTAAGGTGAGTGCTCTGAAGACACCGTGTAATGGGGGACAGTCTGGGCTTGGAGTCAGGGAAGTTATTTAAACAAAGATATGGAGGGTAATGGGTTAAGAGTAATCTAAATACTAGAATGTAAGAAAGGCTTAGATCGCCTTGGAGAGATTTAAAAACCCCACAAAACTATAATTGGAGTGTAGTGAGGAAGGGATTTAAGTCTAAAGGATGAAAAATTATTCAATTGTATTAATAGTTCACTGATAGCAGATAATGAACTCTTATGTATTCTTTTAGGAAACTCATCAACTTCTGGGATTCTACTGAATACATAGGGGTTCTTGGTATAGTGTATAGCTGTTAAGAGTTGGCTAATTATATTTATTACAGAATAGGACTAGGAAAAGACAAAGATGCTACCTATATCCATATTCCTATGGACAAGAAGATAGTCCAGTCATAATATTTATTGAGGTTCTCACACAGACCAGGTGTTCTATAGAAACACCTAGATTGTTTTCCCCCGAAATTGTATAAATGACGGAAACTTATAGAAGAGGATTTTAACATCTCACTTGTCCAGATTTAGGGCATTCTCTGCTCTCAAGAGCACAGTAGAAAGCTAAGAATCAAATAAATGAGATTCTCGATTGTTAAGTATTTGCTGTCACTGCATATTTATGGTATATAATGTAAAGCTCACCAAAATAGCCCTGCTGTTTACTACCTAACTCTGGACAAGATACTTTGCCTGTTTCCTGGTGTGCAAGATGACGATGCGAAACCTGGTAGTCTTGAGGGATGAATGAAATTGTGTGTGTGTATTTGTTGTGTAATCCGTAAAGCACTGTGCAGATAAAAGGGCTTTCTATTTAGGTGTGGTTCCTAATCGGAAGTGAGAAGCAGCTGCCAGGACCGCTGACTCAATGTAAATTTGTCTTGGCTACCTGACTTCTCAAAGTGGGCCAAATAAAATGGTGGTATATTTGAACAAACAAAGATTAATAGTAGAAGACAAATTAATAATAATTTTTTTTCTTGAGACAGGGTCTCTGTCATACAGGGTGGAGTGCGGTGGTGTGATCATAGCTCACGGCAGCCCCTAGGTGTGTGCCTCTACACCTGGCTAATTTTTAAATTTTTTGTGGAGACAGGGCCTTGCTATGTTGCCGAGGCTGGTCTCAAACTCCTGGCCTCAAGAGATCCTCCTGCCTCGGCCTCCCAAAGTGCTGGAATTACAGGCATGAGCCACCACGCCTAGTGTATTTAGTGTTTCCCTTCCGTCTGGTACTTTTCTAGGCACTAAAAGAACAAAAATGCTTTTTATAATTTAGGAAGCTGGGACTCATATCTATTATGTTTCTTGCCCAAGATTTCCTACTTATGAAAGGCTAGGCAAAGACAAAAGCCCACGTGGCTTCCACATGTAAACTTAATACCCTGCGCTAAATGATGCTGTGAATTTTGAACAGCTAAGATTCAGGATAAACTCTTGTACACAGCACACCTTATTCTCTAGCATTGCCTCATAGATGTGTTCCCAGTAATAGCATACAGTTGTATATTGGATTTTAAAGATTTGTGAATTTTTTTTCATTTAAAAGGTTGTACATCAATGTAGTTCTCATCACCATTTGATCATTCAGCATTTTACGGTGTTCGCGGGGAAGGGCCTTGACGTGGCAACACCGCTTCTTAACTAACGCTTCCCCTCTCACACCTACTAACCCCTCACCTCCCGAGTCTGCTGTTATTTTCTTCGCTGTCAGTAGGCTGCCATTCAGTTTTCTTCCCCATTATCAGTGCCGCTGCTGCTTCTCTTCCATGCTCACGGTCTTTTATTTCGAGGGCTCTTTAGTCATCCTAGCTATGCTAGTTTCTCCATAGCCGCTGGGTTCTGTGTTTGATAACTTTGAACAGAACATCTAAAAGCTCCCTTACTGTATTCCAGCACCCATAGGGTAGTCCTCATTAAGAAAAAAACAAAAAATTGAGCTCAGACTACGGGAATTCTTTTTTGACCAAATAGTGATTAAGTTATGATATATTCCTACTGTTGGCAGAAGAATAGTGCTTATGATTTAGCCGTGTGGTGTATATTTGTATGTATAACCAAACATTTGGTGGGGTACAAGTATCTTTAGGACACTATTTCCTTAAAAACATGTTTTTGATACTAAAAGCTTTGACATTAACAACAAAAATATCATAATAATAATGTCATAATTTAATAGTATTTTAAAAATATCATCTTTTTCTAAAACAAGTTACCTGTCTGGCAGAGAATTTATTTGTCATTCCAAATATATGAGTCTCTTGTCAAAAGATAACTTTGAAAATTTAACAGTAAGACTCCATATACTACCTCAAGGGGAGAGAAGATTTTTTCTGTGTATGTGTTTCGGTGTATGGGATGGGAGAGGCAGGTTGAGGCTAAAGTTTCTTAATTATGTCACCCTTTTACATGTTTCTTATTAAAGCATATTTACCACATTTGTTGGAATCCACCTAGCCTGTTGATTTTTTTTTTTTTTTTTAATGCTTAATGCCACTTTGTCATCCATTGTTAGATTCGGAAATAGTGAAAACTTCTTCTGGGGCTTTTTTAGAAGGCAAGAAATCATTTTTAACTTTGTCACTGTTAACAGATCTTTCCTTTTTTCGGCAGTGGAAAGGGTGAGATTGATGAAGTTGCTGCTTTAGCTTATTACAGATGTGGGTCTTTATTTTAAAGCCAGGCTTTTACAATCTTTGTTTAACTATGATATCAATTTATCTTAAATTAATCTTGATTCTTTGTCCTAATCAGCTCTCAGCTTCATCAGATGTTTTTTTAATAGTAGAAAATATTAAGTTAGGAATTATATAATTCAGTGCTTTGATGTCATGTAAGAGTAAAGCACAGACTTCAGAATTTTTTACCATGTAGCAAAGAATAATGTGAAAGATAATTTTTAGATTTTAGAAAAAGTAAAATGGAGTCTTTTCCATCCCGGCTTTAGACTTAACCGTTTCATTGTTTTACGTTGACACACCCAGGCTGATAGTGCATTCCCGTGACCTACAACCTCAACTGTATAAGGAATGCTGAGAGGGGAAAGAACTATCTTAAGGAAAGATAAATAATGTGATTTTCAGATTTTACCTATGGAAATATATTTAACCATGTGTCAGGGATTCCTGGGAAGAATCAGAACATAGGAAGCAGCTTATGAGAATGTGTGAAGTGTTAACCTTTAGTCCCTTGACTGTCTTTAACTTGAACAGTGACATTCCAGGTTGTTCTTGTTTTCAGAGTACATCCAAGCCATTATGATGATGGAAGAATCTGTTCAACATGTTGTCATGACAGCCATTCAAGAGGTACGTTGGAGTTTTGTGCTTGCAGTTTATGAAAAATTAAAGGAGCAAATATGAGTATAAATAATAGAAATTTTGAAAAGAGATTCTCCTCATTTTAGAGAATTTTTTTACATATATGATACAGCTTACATTATTTGTATTTTTAAAAAATCACACTCATTTAAATTTCTCATTTTTATTTAATTATCTTCTGTTTTAGTACTATAGCCCTCCTCTCACTTATTAAAAATTCAAGTTGGTTTGTGAAAATTAGTAGAATAATATACTTTTGACAAATTTAGTTAATAGACTATCATGTTCTTTAAAAAAAATTCCCCTATCTATACTACATTTTTTACAATTACAGTATTAATAAGAAAAGATAATACATTTTGGTTTGTTTAATTATTATTGATTTGCTTTCACTTTTTAAATATACCTTCAAAGTAACACAGTGCTCTGGTGCTACTACTTTATCAGGCTTACAGACATTTTTGCAAAGTGATTTTGGATCTTAGTCAGGATTGTTCAAATAAAGTGGATTGATAATCAATAAAAAATTCCTATTTGAATTGTTTTGA